GCACTGCGCGTGCCCGTATACCTACCGCCGGACGGTATACATATTCCTGGCAGCGGGAGAAATGCTTACTGATATATTAGCGGGCATATCGGGGCTACTACAATCGTATTCCGGTCCAGAAAATGGGCCCCGACCATCCAGAATGCTTGCGAAAAGATGGGGACCTACTACCACGCACCTTCTTCAGCACAGCGCGCGGACACACTACGTGCTGTGTACGTACACTCAGGCATTGTTAGAGCCGGTCGGAGTCGGTACTCGCGCAGTAAGGATGGCGATGCAGGTCCAGCGCGTCCCGACAAACATTCGGGAATGTCCCGAGATTGTCCCGACGTCCCGAAGAACGTCCCTGCCTAGCACCCTCTCGCGGTCTGCTCCCCATCTAGGGTTGCAGTTCTAGGGCATACTCTGTGGATACTACATACAATGTTCATAGCCTTGCGGCAGGTGTATTCCGCGCGATGGACGACGGAGCTGGAGTCCTTCCCTTCCCGACGAGGCTTCTTCCTCCCGACCCCTACCCTCTGCCGCTCCCGTCCGCTACCGAATCTCCCCCACCTCCTGCACACCTCTACTACACATCCCTTCCCGACGTACGCTCCACTTCCCGACCCCTACCCTCTGCCGCTCCCGTCCGCTACCGAATCTCCCCCACCTCCTGCACACCTCCTCTACAACACATCCCTTCCCGACGTACACTCCACTTCCCGACCCCTACCCTCTGGCGCCCCGTGTCGCGCGCGATGCAGGATATTGCTCGCGAGATATCATGGCAGCCTCCCGGTGGTATGGGTTTTTGGAAGGCTGGGTAGTGCAATCTGATGATAGTCCCGACGTCAGCCGATGCCGACTTCGGGAGGATGGCATTGACTTAACGGTTCAATGATTGTTGACACGTGACCCGACGTTGACTTGGCGTTTGAGCTTCCGTCGTCTTTCGCCTCTCGCTCCCATGGATCCCGCCCTGCCTCAACCGGTCGACTTTGCGACCAGCCCAGTAGATCCTGCTTGGCAACTTGCTTTTACTGATGCCACGGTATGTTACGCTCAGGAGCTGTTTGCTTCCCGAATGGCCATCCCGGGCGCGCCCGGACCTCGCGCCAGTGAAGTTCTTGAGCTGGATTTTCGGCTCGAGATACAGCACCTGGTCAATCTTTACGTGAGGGCCCACCGGAATAAATGTGCGCACCAGTACATATCTTAGTGCCGCATTCCCCTGACCCGATATTCAGACACTTTGCCCTGGAGTTGTGAAGCATATAATGCGTATGTGGGGGGTCAAGACGGAACCAAAACAGCGTTCGAGGACGCGCTTAGCGTGCACTTCCCGCCTCTCGAAAGCGTTGTCGAAGGAGAGACCGGTGGAGTTATAGAGACGCGCCCTTCCCTCATTGTTGACAAGTATGGAGTCATCGTTCTTGCCTTCCTACCAGGCGTCATAGGGCATAGCATCCAGGTACTCAATTTGCAGCTCTATCGCACGACGCGCTCACATGTTATAGGCGGATGCATTTCATAGTACGCACCTACTTAACCCGACGTTCGAATTGAACGGTCCCGACTCCAGCCCGACATGGCGGCTGGCAGGACAGACATACCGTCGGGACGTCGACAGTCTCTATCTGAGCCCCGGCCTGGCGACGTTGGGTTTTTTGCACAGTACTGGACACAAGGTAAGCTCCCAATCCTGACTTTCGGGACTACCACCTCATCCATTCGAAGACGCCCGGGAAGAAAATCCACGTCGGGAGGGATCTCGGGAGCTCGGGAACCAATCTGACAAGGTCTCAGCAGGACGCGCGCAGATGGCTTACGCGCAACACCAAGACGGCAGCCTTGATGTCAGCGTTTTCCGCGCTGGTCAGTCCCGAGCAATACGCGTTGGCGCGCGAGGGACTTGTCCGGCTTGCTCGGCGCAGTGACACTCTTCGGGAGGCTCTGGAGAGCTGGCCCTTCGCATTTACATCGCTTGCGGCAGTATCGAACCGATCCACGGGTGTACACCGCGACCGGAAAAGCGGCGGCAACAACTTCTATGACGTCATGACGACCATAGGAGGGGATCCCGACGTCGTCCAGATAAAGTTCAGAGGGATCGGCTTCTCGGCCAGGTATACGTCGGGATCTATGGTCGCGGCCAGCTGCCACACCCATCTTCACTCGGTGGCCGCTTCTCCAAATGTTGAACGCCTAGCGTTGGCGGCCTACATGAAACCGACTGTTCTGCTTGAGATGGGTCTTGACATGCCCCGGCTACCTACTATTCCCCTTGTAAAAGATCTCCTTATCCGGCAGATACTTGCACACCGGCGTATTTAGTCCATGAATGACCGTTGTTTGTTTCGCAAGTGTTGGAGGCCCGTCGGGATGCGGTCGGGGTTGGATCGGGATGCCGTTGGAGAGATCGGGATTCAGTCGGGGCAGTCGGGACGTCCAGTCTCAAAGCGCCGTCTGTAAAGGCCTACCGGACTAGGGCCCCAGACAGCTCACATTTGATACGCATATACTATTCAGTCCACAGAAACATTAAATATGTAATTAGCTACGTTGTATGTGGCACAGAGGCCAGAACGGCCTGCATCACATTCTCCCCGACTAGCCCAAATCCGTCCCGAGTGTCGCGTTGGTCAGCAGTCAAAGCCCCGTCGGGATACGCTGCCACGTAGAGTTCCAGCAGTTCGCGCTCATCCATGGCTAGTATCTTGTTGAGGTACTGCAGCTGATCTTCATGATCAATTCGCAATGCCTGCAAGACCTGCGTAGCATCTTCAAGGACTTGTTGAACAGCCCGAGCGTCATCTTCGTCGACACCATTCAAAGCTTCCTAGAGTGCTGCCATTAGC